CTATTGAATTCATGTACTCCTAGCTCAGCCAAGCACAAAACAGCTAATGCCGTCATGTTTGAAAAGCTTTTATGCTGAATTTGACACAAAAGCAATCACAGAGCAGACAAAAAAGAATTTCTCTTTCAAAGGCTGAAAGGAGAAAAATAAATGAAAACTATGAGCTTGGCCATATCTCTCTTGCACTGGAAAAAAAGTTCAAGATCCAGAAATAATTTTTTTCCAAAGAACTTCTTGCCAAGTTTGGACCAATCTTAGCCTGGTGAACAGGCTGTGAACTTAGTCAAGATGCTACCAAGTGATATAAATCCTAGGATGATCAGTGCTGGCAGTTTCAGATGCCAAAAACATACTTCTTTTCCTTATTTTGTAATTTCTAAATGGCATCAACACTCATAGGATTCTGTCATGGCTTATTGTCACAGATTTTGATTAGTGTGGAATCTTGTATGTTTTTTTCCTATGACATCTGTGTCTCTTAAAAAGAGCAATTTTAACCAACTTCAAAAGGATCAAATGAAGAGATATGGTTAATAAAATGATCTCCATTCCAAAGCACATCTTTGTTTTTACAGCAAAGATAGAATGTACAAATAGATTATGTATAGTTTTTCATGATCTGCTAATTAGAATAGATAGTTTTAGTTTGTTTTTCTGCCCAACCAGTGTTCTCATACTGCTGTCTCTTTCTACCCTGAAAATTTTTTTTCTTTATTTTTTTTAATTTTAGAGGCATCATACTTACATATCCATCCCCCATCCCCTTGCCTTCCCATCCTCCCATGTTCCTCCCCAAACCCCTCACCTCCTCAACTTCCTTCAAAGGGATAGGGAGGCCCTCCACAGGGGAACATCATAGTCTCTGACCACATTTTTAACATGGGATTTCCTAGATGCGATCTCATAAGTGGTTTCTATCATGTGAATGTGATAATATTTCTACAATTACTTCCCATTTGTTTTTCTAAGCAAGAGGTAGAGAGTTTCAAAATATCAAACCAGAAAGAGTTAACTTAGTGGGATGCTATGAAGAATTAAAAATGGTGATTTCTAAAAATTATAAAATGATGAAAATCATGCAATTACATTAAAGTGAAAATTCAGAATTTATAAAAGGCATTATTAGAAAAATTTAAAAAAGGTGTAGATAATAGCTAGAATAGATTCGAGATGAGGATTAAAGATTAAAAATCATTAATATATACAGATTGCTTAGGATCCAGATCAGTAGAATTCAAGTATGGTGATTTACTTAAAGTGTTAAAAAGATCACAGAGTTGTGTTAGCATTTGAAATCATTCTCTGTTATTTACTAAGAGTAGATTGGGTTATCATCAGGTATGGGGGAGCAAGGGAGGCTGAGTGCTGTAACCACAGCTCTCTAACTCTGATGAGGGCCTTGCAAGGTTAGGAGGTTCTCTTGGCAATCATACACACACAAACATAGCAATAATTTATGAGGAGGGAGATGCAGGTCAGATTATCCAGTATCTTCTAATATCTGTTTCCAAACATTTTTTCCTAAGAGAAAATTGTAAGTGATAAACCTATCAACATTACTCACTTAGAGAGAAGACATTTAGCCATGAAAAGCAGATATCTCTATTCTTTGCTTGCCAACTTTGCAAAGAATTAAAAATACTAGTTTCATAAAAATGGAATATGATTTGTAATTATGTTCAGTTTTTCAAAGAAGAAAATACTGTAAAAAGGTACCCATATTACACTCTTTAATTACTTTTCAGTCAATTGGCTGATTTATGATATAATCTTATTTATTTGTCAATTGGTAATTGGTCTTGTCTCTTACATAGCCTCATGATGTTTTATCAATTTATTTAATCCTCACAGATAGTAGGTAGAAGAGAAAATCTGTGAAGTTATCTATGAGAGTAATTGCTATAAATTTCCTTCCTGTATCCCTATTCCTATCAAACAAAGTTTCTTTATACAATTTAAAGAGAACACTTTTTATGAATAATGGCTGAGAGAACCAAATAAAATAATGCTTGTAAAATGACTAGCACTGACTTTAGCATGCAACAAACATTCAACTTTGGTATCAACAATAAGAATGTTTTAGTATTCATGCATACTATCCAGGAGACGATGTGGGCGGGAACCTTAAAGTTTTCCTATTTCTCTCATATGCCGTATGATCTTAACATGCATTGTAACAGCCATGCATATCATTAAGTTTATAAACATAGATAAAAATACCCATGGTTTCTATATAGATAATGGTCAAGTCATTTTTTATGAAATACTCAAGACTATTCAAAGACATTTTAAAAGACATTGACAAAGATAGTACTTATTATAAAATCCTTGTTGTTTCAGATGTTTGAACACAGCTGTTTAGATAATTAAACTGTTTTGCTTTCTTCTTCCATATTTCTTTTTTATTTTATTCTCTTATATGAAGCCATGTACTCTTCTAACAGCTACTTATTGTACCCTAATAATTCTTGACACCCCTTATTGTTCTCTCAGGGTAACATTTATTCAAATATAGCATTACCTTTTGTTTTCCTTTTTTTTTACATCTATCTAAATCCACCTTTTGAAAATTTTGTATCCATTAACACTTTTTGTTGATGATCTGTAAATTTCATAGTATACAACCTTCAAGGAGACTATAGCAGAGCCTAGCTTAATTGTCATTAGAGAGGCTTCATCCATCAACTGATGGAAATAGATTCAGAGATCCACAGCCAAATATTAGGCAGAACTTGAAGAAGTCATGAGGGAATGAAGAGGAAGGACTGTAGAAACCATGGGGGCAAGGACACCACAAGAGTATGGTCCACAGTACCAACTAACCAGGGGTTATGAGGGCTCACCGAGACTGAACTGAATCAGGGACCCTTATTGTGTATCTGTCCTAGTTCCTCTGTATATGTTCATGTAGCTTGATGTTCTTGTGGGACAGCTTAGAGTGGGAGTTTGAGTATGTTTCTAATACTTTTGCCTATACTTGAGTCCCTTTTCTTCCTACTGGGTTGCTTCATTCAGTGTTAATACGAGGGGAGGCGCCTAGTCTTATTGCAAAATGATATGCCATGTTTGGTTGATTTCTCTGGTAGGCCTGCTCTTTTCTGAAGTGAAATGATGGACCATTTTTCTGAAGGGAAATGGAGGAGTAGATCTGGGGTAGAGAGGGGGGACTAGGAAGAGATGAGGGAGGGGAAACTGCAGTCAGAATGTAATATATGAAGGAATAATAAAACGAGAACAGATCATTCAAGATTAACCATGTGGATTGCATTTCAAATAGTCAGGGCAGGAATTAAGAAAATAATTATTACAAATTACTTATGCTGCTGTGCCAGGAAATTACTAATAACAGAGGTAATGATTAGTCTTAAAATCTATATGGCCCTTTGTAATTCTTGGTATATGCAGTTTAGATCCTTTAACAAAGTGGCTATGATGAAGACTGGCTAAAAGTTTATTAATCCCACTTAGTCTCCCTGAAATTAACTGGGAGAAAGTTCTGGTCAATGAGACATGGTAGAATTCCTAGGCTTGGCTATAAAATTCTATAGATTGAACAAACATATTCTCAATGGCATTGGGGTAATCATAAGTGTAACATGATAGTATAAAAAACTGTAAATGCTTATCCCTAAATAACCATTTGGGACAGAGTTTGTAAATAGGATTTATCAGATTCTGATAGACCATAACCAACAAATCAATTTTTATTAATCTTTAGTCTATTATGCTGTTGATATTTTAGGGTTTATTTCTTAATGCAACTTAACATAATATAAACAGACTGCTTTAAGAATGAGATATTTTAGAGATAAAAAGAATCTAAGAAAATTATATTGTTTTTCTTCTTATAATATAAAGCTCATGTGAGATTCATATCTTTGCTTACAGGAAAGCCTTTTCTACTACATTAAAAACAATTAGAGAGTTTGGGGTTAAGTCCTCAATCACATCACCTTCCAACCACATTATTTCACTGGTTTAAAATCTCTTACCAGTATCTACTTTTTAGCATTTAATGTCTCAGATGCCCTATAAATGCAGCATTTGAAAGCATCAAATGTATGTACTTTCAACATTTGAAAGCAACAAAAACATCATGCATGGTACTTGATAAAATTAATACACTATTTATTTGCCTTTTTAGCAGAAAGTACTGAACTATCAAGTTGAAAGACATTTCGAATATTTAAGAGAAAGAAGAGGAAAAAGAGAAGGAAGACTAGGAGGAATAGAAAATGCTCTGCTAACGTCAGAGAATGGGAGAAGGACATGAGAATACACATTCCCCTTATACCTTCTCTGATATTCACTCATTTCCTTCTCCAGTCAGAGCTCTTGGTAAGGTAAGGGCTTGGAGGTTTAGATCTGTTACTTTTTCTAGGAAAAAATTGATGGGACATGTTAATTTAATTTCATGCTACATCAGAAGTGTGGCATGCATACCATCTTTGAAGTGCTCTTAAAACAATGGTGCATTGTAAAACCCAGCTCATGGGTGGGAAAATAGCTCACTTAATAGAGTGTTTGCCTAGCATTCAGGGAAGTCTTTAGATGAATCCCCAGGAGAAAGTTAGCAGGGTTGCATGGCACATGCATGTGATTTCAACACTCAGGAGGTGTAGGCAGGAGGATCAGGAAGGAAGTCAAGAATAGGCTCCTTAAAAGCCTGCTTCAACAAACCAAACCCAAACAAACCATGTGCATACTAAAAGATAAAAATTAACTTTGAAGTTGTACCAGCCTATCAGTTTTCCTTTACTGTGTATTAAGTCTCAACAATTTTGAGCATCTAGGTGTGGTGACACTCACCCATAATTCCATCTTGAAGGAGAATTTTGAGACTTTGTCTCAAAAGCAAACAATGAAATAAAAAATTCCATTAATCATTATTCATTTTTGTATAAACGTAATTTTTCATTAAGACCATTAAGTTTCTATCTATGGCATGATTTTATTTGCTATAACAAGTATTTGTTTTTAAAATGATGTTTGACACTAACCTTGGTTTCTGAGATCTTCTTTTGGATTTCATCCATCATGTGAGGACCCTCTTTCCATGAGTCAAGCCTGGCTTTGGCCTGTCCTATGAACTGTTCAGCCTTTTCCTTTGCTTCTAGCCACTGTGTTGAATCCTTTAGCATTTCATTCAACTGCTGTCTCCGGTTGTGAAGATGTTCCTGTACCTCATCCCACTGATTCTGAATTCTTTCAACTGGCAACAAAGGAAAAACAAATAGCAGGAAATATTACTCTAGAGAAAGCAGGCGAAATTTATCATAAAACTACTTTTCATATTTTTATTATCCATTATAGTATTTAATGTGCTATGTGTGTGATAATTAATAAATGATTTCTATGCTCAGATGGAAAATTAGAGTTTCTATTAAATTATCATCATGAAATAAACTAGAACATTAGTGCTATGGGTAGAAATATTTTATTCTTACTCTCTAATATCAAAAGAGAATTATCTCTTAGAAAGGTACTATAGGGCTTGATTCTATTACTTGTGCATTTGACTTGTGAGTATAAGAATCTGAGTTTGGAAGTCCTGAAGTGACAGTCAAGATGGGAAACAGACAAACAATTTCCTACAGCTCATTGACATACTACAAAGCATGAAGGATTTTTTTTTAGCATGATCAGACTTGCAGAGACAATTAAGGCATAAGTAACAGTATTAAGGCATTGACTGATGAGTTGGAAGAACATTACCCCATGATACCTGCCATGTTTCTTGGGGTGAAAATTATAAGAAGGCTTTTCACTATCCCCCCCCCCCCCCGAGTTCCCTCAGTAATGTCAAAAAGTGTGGCAAACAACAATAGCCTCTATAATAAGTGACTCTTACAGTTTCCTTCCTTTCCCTATTTCGATTCCACTCCCATAAAGGTAATTCCTTTGACCACCTTACAAATAAACCACGTTTTCCTATAGATGCCACTCCAAGTTTTGTTTCTTGAGTAACATAGCCCAAATTAGTAATACTATGTTCACTCAAGGGGAAAAAATCAAGCTGATTGCAAGATGAGCAGTGGGTAAAAGCATATGCTTCCAAGCCTGATGATCAGAGATCAAACCCCAGATCTTATGTTAGAAAGTTATTCTCTGGCCTCCACATGCAGTGCATGGTACATGTGCCCTTCATACCTATATTCATATATGGACTGACACAAATAGATATGTATGTATGGTCAAACAAACAAATGTTAAAAAATTTTTTAAAAGGAAAGAAAAGTCAGCCCTTTCACTAAATCTTGAGTCGTTTTTATTGAAAAATGACCACTGTCTCTTTCTTATGATTCAATGTTACATCCTTTCAATAATGGCTATAACTCCTATTGTATTGTCTTCATTCATATCATAATCTCTATCTTATGCAAATAAATGTTCTGTTAGTTTGGCTTCTTTGATTCTAATTTAATTTGTAAGACTATATATTCAGGGATCATTTATATAGTTTTCTTTTACTAATTTAATTTATATTAACCATATTTTTGTGGAAAACACCCTCAAAATCATGTTTGCTAGTAGAATATCAACATATGATATAAAGTCCATAGATTATAATGTCTGGCGAGCTGCATTATACTGTGGAGTAAAATTCATTGATAAGCTACATTTCTCCAACATTTAAAAATTAATTGCAGGTTACAAAGAATCAGTTACTATACAAGTTTACCTATTTTAAATCCAATTGTTGGCAAATATAGACAATTCTTTCTATATAACTAATGCTACTTCAGAGGCATTTTTGAACCACATTAAAGCCTAGAAGGTAATAAGCACAAAAAGTGTATTATTATTACTAACTCAATACAATTAGATAAATACCAGAAAGACAGAAGAAGCATGAGTCATTGTTAAAACAATAAATATATATGAGAATTCATTTTGCTGGGCAGAAATTATGGAGAGTTTTACTTTAACAAAAGGATGCATAAGACTTCAGAGAACTAACAAATTTGTCAAGTATATTCAACATATTATTTGTATTTGTATTACTTGTAATTCTCTTCTCAGATATAGTCAAGAGAAATGCATATTTATTTTTATTTACCAAAACTCATACTTTCCACTCCTTTTAAACCAATATATGCAAACTTCCATCTACATATCTCTGTCTATCTATCTATCTATCTATCTATCTATCTATCTATCTATCTATCTATCTATTTATCTCTCTATCTCTCTATCCACTATTCCTCTATCTGTCTATGATCTTGTGGTGTATATGGATGAGTGAGAGATTTATAACTATTTGTAACTGTATGGGTGGATCTCAAAAAGATAATACTGAGGGGTGCAAAAGTCAGTTCCAATTGAGTAGATACTGAAACACTGTTTGATTAAATGTAAGGTTAAAAACTCAAGAAAAATAGATTTTATGACTCAAGATAGTAGTTGCCCTTGTTGGATAGGTAGTTACTAGAATATATATGAAGGGCTCTGACAAGGTTCTGATAATAGTGTTTCTAGATTTTTGTGGTATTTACACAGGTATATTCAGTTTCTAACAGTTTACTAATTTAGATGTTTAAGCTAAGTATAATTTTTATTATATATTGAAAATGGTGTGTTATTTAACTTATTTAATTTAGGTGATTGTCTTTTTGAAAAGTGGTACAAAATGTATTATATAGATCAGTTTGTTAAACCTACAACACAATTTTGTGCTTAGATGCCCACAGATATTGCTCAGTGGCAAAAATCTTGCCTGTTATAAGGAGCTCTTAGACTGTTCCTCAGTACTACAAAAGGAATATTTAATAAAATATTTATTAGACAGTGAAGTAGATTAGGCTCTTCATAACAAACTAGAGTATGAAGAGTAATCAGTTGTTCACCTCTTGGGTAACAAAGCTAGCCAATTTCATTGATGAACTGACAGAAATCACCAGAGAAGTACGTGCACAACCATATGTAGAAAATTTGAGAAGCATTAGAGATATTTCATTTTGTCAAGAGATGAACAAGGCATGCAATCTGATCCCTAATGTTAACATCTCTATGGGCCCACAGTCCACCCATTAAATCCCTTCCAATTCTCCTTCCCAGGGAGATCTGATAATCCTCCCCTTGAGCCCCCTTTATTACCTAATCTCTTTGGGTCTGTGGATTGTCTCATATTTAATCTTTATTTTAAGCTAATGTCTACTTATAAGTGAGTACATACCATGTTTTAGAATGGAAGAGTACTGAAAGAGACAACTGGAAAGGGAGGAGCATTTTTGGGTGAGCGAGAAACCTGGTAAAATAGAAACTCAGGAATCTACAAGGATGACTTCAGCTAAGCAATAGGGGATATGTAGGCTAAAATGGCCATATCCTGTGACCACTCAAGACTTCCAGTGGATGAACTGGAACATTAACTCAGCTATATAACCTTCATATTTTCTTGTCTATGGGATGTGCCAGGTTAAGGGTGACACAGAGATTATAGGGCTGGACAACCAATGACTGCTCCAGCCTCATACCCATGCCACAAGAGTGAGCACACACCTGGGACTGCCTGATGTACTAGGACCCAGAGCCTGGATGGCTCAGCAGCCTAGGATAGAATCAAACATGACTGGAAAAAAAGTCAATGTAATTATGTCTGATGATGTTCTGCTGTGCTCATAGATTGGTGCCTAACCCAATTGTCATCAAAGAAGCTTCATCTAGTAACTGATAGAAACCAATGTACATACTCAAAGCCAAATATTAGGCCATGGTCAAGGAATCCTGCTGAAGAGAGGGAGCAAGGATTGTAGGAGCCAGAGGGGTCAAGGACTTCACAAGAAAAACCACAGAATCAATTAAACTGGGCTCATGAGGGCTCACAGAGACTGAACTAATGACCAGGGAGTGTTGAGGGAATTCAGTCCATTTAACCAATGGTATTGAGGTGACTAGCCCTATTAGCATGCTCTGCTCTGGGTATGTGACCAGATAAGAACTAAGGACAGGGGACATGTATTCTCTTGGACAGGGAAGGCGCCCTGATGCCACAGCTCAGTGACCTGGTCCAGAGTTTTCCCCATCCTTCCCTGGTAGATGAAGAAGCAGCTGTTCTACTTCATTCTGTATTCAAGTGTGTGTTATTTCCACTCCATCCCTTAATAAAAAGGCATCATTAGATTCTTGCTTTATCTGGCATCCAATGTGGGTCACAAAACAGCAACCATAAGATTAAGACCCTCATGCTCTACCAACAGGTAGTATTTATCAACAAGGTTAATACGGAATTTGCAGGACTTGGCCATTATGTCAATTTTTTTCTCAGGCTCCCTCAAAGATTACCAGGATCCACCAATCAGCAAAAAGTAGTCTAGAAAACTACACTCAAATTTCTGAAATATTATTTATGAATGCTTGTTTTCATTTAAGAGGGGTTGGTTATAAATTGTTATTAGTTATAGCCAATCTCTTTCTAAAAGAAGAAAGGGAGATATGATATATAAATAATGGAGAAAAATAGATTATTGAATCCACTTTAAAATCAACTGTTAATCTCAAAATATTTAATATTGGTATGGATTTTAGTTTACTGATATAAATTTAAAGTCAATCTTATTATACTGTATGTATATTTATACTCGTGTTTAAGGTATCATGTTCATGCAGCTCATTTAAAAATGTAAATGTATGCTGGGTGTTGGTGGCACATGCCTTTAATCCCAGCACTAGGGAAGCAGAAGCAGGCAGATCTCTGTGAGTTCAAGGCCAGCCTAGAGCAAGTTCCAGGACAGCCTCCAAACTAACAGAGAAACCCTGGCTGGAAAAAACTAAAAAAAAAATGTAAATGTATAATTGCAGATACAGATTAATAGCTAGTCATTTATAATAGTAAAACTTAGAGTTATATTAACTAGGTTTTCTAGGTATACAGAGATATTATTTAATTATGTAGGTAATCTTCAAACACTTCCAAGACCTACAGAATATGGCAATTTAAGTGTTTTAAGAACTTGGATTTTTCTTCAGAGAGAGACACATCTTCTTCTGGCAACATAAATTACTTCGAAGGGGATGATGGACATCAAAGAAACTCCTTATGGAATTTGCTTTCAATGTGGCAAGGCAAGCCATTTGGTCAAGAAACTGCTCTTGCCTGGACTCTTTGTAAGTAGGTTGTATAAAATGGACATGCAGGACCCACAAGAAAATCACCAATAAACTTTGCTAAAACAAGGGGGAATGGTCCTTCAAGTTCCTGCTTCACAGAAG